TCTTTTCACATCCAGAGAAATATTCTGCCTTTTCAATATTTCCTAGGATATTTCATTTTTCTGGGAGAGGGCTGGATGATAACTTCCCACACTGTAATGCTGATAAAGGTGGAAGGAAAGAGAAAGACAACCAACAGAAAAGTAGATTGACTCTGTTATAGCTGCACCACTGGAAGACCTGAAAGATCAAGCAAGGGAGAGATTGTCCAGAAGAAAATCTATTTATGAAGTCACTAAGAATGGATATCAACTTGATAGGACATAATTTATCTGTCAGAGTACATATTCTGTACTCATGTCTTGTATATGCTCATTTACAACATAAGATAATTTTCCCATTGTACTGTTTCTATACTTATACATTTTTTATTCCTTTGAGCGTGAATCACCCAGAGTTTGGTTTTAAGATGAGCAGCTGTTCACATCTTTAAATAAAAACAAATAAATATCCCAATTATTTATATCTTTATTTCCCATTCTGACACATATACTATTCATCTTCTTTCACAGTCTATTTATTCTTTCGGTGTTGATTTCATATTTCCTGGGTTCTAATAGGGGACGTAAAATACAAAGGAAGTAAAATATTTGAAGGATGATAATAATTTTTGGCTATATAACTGCAAACTGCCCGTAACCGTATTCCGTGCTTCTTCCGCTCTGGGCCTCTGTGACAGTACTTCAGAATAGAACCTCCGAGGCCGAACAGCCAGGAGCTGCAGTTCTGGACTCTGGTCCTTAGAGGACGCCCTACAGAAGCCTCTTTCGCACTCTCCTCACCCGGATTCCAGATCTTTCTCGAACTCCTGAAGGCTAACCGAGGACGCACGGAAACTGCCGATACCCAAGTCGGAATTTCGCGGCGTCCTCGTCTGGCAATCAGCCGCGCCTGCGCAGAAGAGAGAAAGTGCCGGTTGGCGGTTGTTGTTCCGCAGTGACAACGAGCGAGCGATCGAGTCGCACAGGTGCCGTCTCCCCGCCGCGAGCACTGTCCCGCGAGGGCCCGCCGCAGTAACGCGGAGGAAGGGCTGAGGAAGAAAGCGGACCGCACCCGCCGCAGTCATGTCTGTGGTGGGCATCGACCTGGGCTTTCAGAACTGCTACATCGCGGTGGCGCGGAGGGGCGGCATCGAGACCATCGCCAATGAGTACAGCGACCGCTGCACCCCGTGAGTCTTAGCCTTCCAACCGGGCTTTGGGCAACAGCCTCCGCTCCGGAGGAATTAACGGCGGCTCGTGCTCTTTCCGTTGGCTCCTGACAGCCTCCGCCTCATGAAACCTTTTAAGGAGCTTTCCCCCCGACCGGTGTTGCTCTGCCTACCTGGAAATTACGAGGTTGGACAAGGGACGGTTAGAATTACAAACTTCTCTCTGGATTATGAGCCGTTGTCATAGTTTACAAACCCATAGTAGGTGGGTTCACGCGACATCCTAAGTCGTGGCTCATTGTCATGTGTAAACTTGGGAAAGAAGCTGCTATGTATCAGCATGGATCATGGATCATGTACGGAGGTAGTTCGGTGTTGTCAAATTAACCGTTTCTCAGCTTAGCTGGGTGTATTTGACTTCCAACTCTTTCTTAACTGGTCCTGCTGGATAAGACCACTAGGTTTGTAACGGCCAAATGTGGAAGATTGTTATATTGAGACAAAACTAACTTTTCCCGAAGTGTCTTGATCAGTCTTACTTAGAAAGGCTTGGAATTTTCTTGACACTATTTTCACACAAAACATGTGTCCTAGTGCTGAATTTTTGTTCTTAATAATGCTGACATTTTCCAGTTATGTTAGAATTCCAACTTCCAGAATCCCGTTCTTGACTCAAATAGTGTTTTGGATTGGAGAAATAAGGTTTCTCTTTTCCAGAAAGATTTTTCTTCTTTTCACTGAAGTTTGGGTTAAGCAGTAATCTTCAATTTGATAGATTTGAAACTAATTCACCATGAGCTTTAGCCTTCATAAGAGGAGTCAACTTTCTGGTCTCATTTCTCATCTGATTACTTTAAAAAAAAAAGAGAGAATTGCACATCTAAAACATTGTAGCTCTGTTAAAAAGATGATTTGATACTTAAAATAACTCATATTGCGAAGTTCATGACATCTACTAAACCCACTTTTTTTTTACTTTTGTCTATTGCCATTTTCCATCCATCCATCACAATAGCATTGAAACAGAAGCACCTTTAAGTTTTTGCAAATAATTCCATGATTTAGCATTTCTTTCTGAACCTCAAAATAATAGTAGTGTGTCTGTTCAGTTAAAAGTATTATAGCTAAGGGCAATTCAGGTCACAGTAATATGCACCATTTTTGCATAGTCAACCTTTGAAATAAGCATGCTACATGAAAGGCTATATAGGGTAAAAGAAGTTGGCCAGTATTTCGTCTTTACTGTTTTGTAGCATTCTTTCCTTTTGCTTGACATGTTATTCTTGTTCTATTGTCTCACTTAACTATCAGGCGTGGAGGGTGGTACCTGGAAAGAGATGATGTGTAGATGATTGTAGAGTACTGCAGAATAGGTAGAATTTGTTCACTCTTCCCTGTTTCCATGGGTGACAACCAGGAGTTGTAAATAGGTACCATCTCTTTGTAGATTTAGCAGAATCAAAAAATTATATAATCAAAAGCACACAATTATTTTTGTGTTCTTTGTTCCTTTGAAAAACAATATCTGTTGTTGCAAACATTCTACCTAGTATATTCTTTAAATTTAGCAAAACTGATAATGAATTGGATATGCAAAAACATGATTGCATGTGAGAGTGAATGAATGTATTTATATATCTGTTGGATCAGACCAAAATTCATCTTGTTCTATATATTCCCAAAATCAAAAACAGGACTTCAAAATAACTTATCTTTTGCTTAGCCTTACTCTTTACTATTAGGAAGAGGCTTTTTTGCTATATCTGGACGTTGACAGCTGTTTTATGCTCCTGCAATTTACAGTGTTTTATAAATAAATAAATAAGAATTTATCTTGCGGCTTTAAACTTTAGGATCTTGGATAATTTGCAAACATTTTAAAACTCAATAATTCATGATTATCCTTATATCTAGTTCAGTTAAAACGTTTATTTTACAACGACCCAGATTGTTGGGGGCAATGTAAACTGCTTAGAGCGGACTGTAAAGTACTATGAAGCGGTATATAAGTCTAAATCAGGGGTGTCAAACTTACAGTTACATCATGACGTATCATGACTTTTTTCCCCTTCGCTAAAACAGGAATGAGGGTGGCCAGTGTGTGACGCATTTGGCCTGTGGGCCATGAATTTGACACTCCTGGTCTAAGTGCTATTGCTACTTATCAATGACTTACATTGCTGATTCTCATGTATATCCTTGAAGATTCTACTTTCTGTATTATCGTTTTTTATTTTCTGAGGTCAAAATATATTGGTGAGATTAGATTTGTCTCTGAAAGGGGGCTGCTTATGATTCATTGTTGGGTTCTCTGCTCTGTGGAATCAGGCTAGCTTTAACACCACCACTTTCCATTATTAAATATTGAATTTGTTTCATATTGATTGTTTTGAATCAAGCTCAACTTTTGTAGACAAACTTCCCAGACTAGTTCACATGACTGAAATTTACATATATCTATGTTTAGTGTATATAGGGATTGCAAACTCATTTTTTTCTGCTTTCAGATTGATGAATCTTTCACAGCCCTATTGGTAACAATTTGATTTCTTCGTGCACATTTATAGAGTATCTGTTGTTTTACAGAGCCTGTATATCTTTGGGATCCAAAGCCAGGACTATTGGAAATGCAGCAAAAAGCCAGGTAAACATAAGTTTATAATTATTTGCAGCAGTTCTTACCTTTTAAAAAGAAAATTTATTCACAAAACTCCCTTTAAATCAAAAGCATTGATAGTATTACCACCAGTGGACACTATGAACTTACACTATATTGCCAAAAATATTTGCTCACCCATCCACATAATCAGAATCAGTTGTGAGCGAATACTTTTGGCAATATAGTGTCGGTATTTATGTCTTACATAAAATAAAATCTTATTTACAGTACTAAAGAATTATAAATGCATAATAAGAATGGGATATTGTTTTTACTAATAAATTAATAAAACTATTGAAAAACTGTAAGATGAACGGAACTTTAATATGAACATGCAAAATTAATACTGTAATATTATTTTGACAGGTTATCACAAATATTAAGAATACATTACATGGATTTAAAAAGCTGCATGGGAGAGCATTTAATGATCCCTTTATAAAGTCTGAGAAAGAGAAACTGCCATATGAGCTTCAGAAATTACCTAATGGAAGTGTAGGAGTGAAGGTGAGCATAGAACCTTCTCTTATGATGTCTGCTGGCAGAATACACAGAACAATACATTTTAAGATCTGGTCCTTTGCCAACTGGCAAGGGGGGAGAGGGAGAGGGAATAGTTACATGCGAGTGGCATGTGAACGCATAGGTGCAGCTCCATTTGTGTGAACAGCAGATTCATACACTCACCACTCGCATAAATGGAGCTGTGCAGATGCACACAGTCGCCCATGCAAGTGGAGCTGCACACATGCTTCTGAAGGCCCAGTAGTGGGTCGTGGCCTGAGGGTTGGGGACCCCTGTTTTCACATATCTCAGCAAATAGAGGATGCTAGAAATAATAAAATGAGTGTAACATCTTTGTCAACATGATTGCCTACTATGTATTCTAGTTCGTTATTTATTTGGATGTTTTTTAAACTCTAGGTACGTTATTTGGACGAAGAAAGATTATTTGCTATTGAACAAGTTACTGGTATGCTATTAGTTAAACTTAAGGAGACATCAGAAAGTGCACTTAAAAAGCCTGTAGCAGATTGTGTCATATCCGTAAGTTTTTATAATGATATACTTATAAAATAATAGTTATATAACATTTGGAATGATTAGATTATAACATGTTCCTGGAAAGTCAGCTCTGTTTATTTGATTTGGTTTGTTTGCTGCTCATCTCGTGACTCTGGGCAGCTTATAACATTAAACTATAAGCTAATAAAGTTTTGTTTCCTAGATAGTCTTTTCTGATTTCTCAATTACTGATAATGAAATGTGTAAACAGTAAGCAGTTTCATACATAGTAGACACTTGATAAGCTAAAGTCTGCCGAAATTCAGACATATAGATTTAGGATGTGCATTACATGTGCTGAAAATTGATTGCTTTGAGGCAAAGTAAATAATTCATATTGTTCATTCCCTCTCATTGTTTTGTGGCCAGCCCATCATGAAACTCGCATACATTGTTGATATTTTACAAAAAAACCAATTACCAAATAATACATTACGTTTTACACCTAAGTTGCTTAATTAGTTATTAGCTTACATGTGTTGCAGGTAGAGGGTTTGCTCCAGGCATTACAGGTAGTCCTCAACTCATAACATTTTATTTAGTGATTTTTCAAAGTTACAATGACACTGAAAAATATGTCTTATGACCGTTTTTCACATTTACCACCATTGCAGCATCTCCATGATCACATAACCCTCTCTTGCAACTTTCTGACACGCAAAGTCAATTGGAAAGCCAAACTAACTTGGCAACTACAGTAATTCACTTAATAACTGTGGCAAGAAAGGTTGTAAAATGAGGCAAAATTCACTCAACAAATGTCTCACTTAGCACTAGAAATGTTGGGCTCAATTGTGGTTGTAAGCCAAGAACTACCCACATATGTACAGATTATTCATGAACTCATCTTTATTGAAATGTAGACTGCTACTCAGCTCCCTTTCTCTTCTCAAGCTGGCATTTTGTGGAAAAGCAAAAGTTGAAAATAGGAAATATGTACAGCCAAAATATGTCTTTCTGCAGCATTGAGATCTAATTTGATTTAAGGCCTCATAGAGCCATAAAATTATTCCAAACGAATCCATTGGAAATAGTGTAATCTATAGCCTATTAATACTGAAATATTGGATTAATTGGCACAAATATATTTAAATTGCATATTTCAGGATTATAATTTAAGTTTTTGTAATAGCATAAGCTACCTGTAGAAAACTCATTAGAAAGATGAATATGGTAAAATTAATTTAATAGAAAACATTTTTCCACAGATCCCAAGCTTTTTTACTGATGCTGAGCGAAGATCTGTTATAGCAGCAGTGCAAGTGGCGGGTTTAAATTGCTTGAGACTAATGAATGAAACTACAGCAGGTAAATTTATGTTTTACTTGTTATATATAGTAGTTTTGCTTTTTAAACAAATTTAAGATTATACCGTATACAACTAAATACTGGGGTTTACTCACAAGTAAACTATCCTCTAGTATGAGTGATTTCTACTAAAATAAGTATTGTAAATTCTTGAAGCAACATTAATGAACATCTGTTCAGAAATCTACCACAATAAGTTAAATATGACTAATATAACAGTTCTAGGATAGCATTTATAAACAAATTTGCTCAATGCTTTTGTTTCCAAGGTTGAAAACTGGCTTTATTTTGTGTAAGTAAATGAGACATTAATACTGTACCAAAAATCATTTGACTTCAATTCAATTCAATTCAATTCAATTTATTAAATTTATATGCTGCCCTTTTCCCCCGAAGGGGACTCAGGGCGGCTCACAACTCGAACCGGGGAG